AGTATTGGTCTGATGGGAAATAAAAACGTGGACATGAGGTGAGACGAAACTATGATCCACCAATAAGGTTGCAAGAAGTATAGTTGCTTAGGTATTACTGATTAAATGGTGATCCAGTGGGTAAGCAAGTCACATACCAAGCATAAAAGGAACAAACAAGGATTTTTGGATTTTTGGTAAGGGATGGCTTAGGGACCTTTTCTGGAAGGGATGGGTCAGGGACCTTTCCTGGAAGGAATGCGTTAAGGTCTTGGTCCCTCACTCTATTAGAATATAGGTGTCCCCCATACCTATTTAGAATATCCATCACTGCTATTCATCCCTAGGAGAAGTTTGAGTAGTTTCTCTCTTTTTATAATGCTAACCAGTGAATGTGCCTCAGTTGTTTTTCTATGCTGAGGGCCCATCTTTGTCTAACTGCTTTATAATAATATCTAATTTAGCTATGTGAAATACTTTCATTTGTAAATAAATGGATGAACCTAAAGGACATCATGCTGAGTAAAACCAAGCACCTAAATACAAATGCTACATGGTATCACTTATATGTAGAATCTAAAAAAGCAGAATTCAAAAGAAGCAGAGAGTAGAATGGTAGTAGTCAGGGGCTGTGGTGATGAAGTGGAAATGGGGACCTCTCAGTCAAAGGTTACACATTTTAGTTAGATGAGACAGATTCCATCGTACAGTATGGTGGTTATTAGTAATAATATGTACTTGAAATTGTCAGAAGAATAATAATTTATAAATATCCTCAACCCCCCCCTAAACAAAAGAGAGCCATGTGAGGTGATGAATTTTAGTTAATCCGATTATGGTCATATACCATAATGTATGCATATATGAAAACATCATCTTATATAATATACATATATATAAGTATTTTGTCAATTATAGCTCAGATACCTGGGAGGAAAAGGTCCCATCCTATTTGGGCTTTCACCTAAATGATCTGGTAAGGAATATATTTTTTAAGCTCATCCACATGATTTGCAGAATTCAGCTTCATGAAGTTGTATCATTGAGCATCCTCTCTCTCCCTCTCTCTCTCTCTCTCTCTCTCTCTGTCTCCTTTATCATTGGTTTGTGTTTTAGCTAGGATAGTATCAGAGGGCAATTAATCCTCTGTCTAGTAATAGGGGAGAGGACTAAAGAAAGAAAGACAGCAGAGACTTGCATAATTTCAAAGTATGTGGGGGGGTGAGGAGGTCAGTGCCTCAGCGTTAGCAAAGACAGACAGTGAGAGCTAGCCATTATTTGTTGGGTGCACACTATAATTGGAGGGAGCATCAGGTGACTCAGAGAACAGTGATAGTCCAATGCTGATTAGGGTCTTATGCTGATGGAGATTTTATGTTGATAAGGGCAGTAAGGAGAGCATTCTTACAAGAGTAGTTCAGTTGGACAAGATATCAGGCAAAAAATAAAAAATAAAAAGATAGCAGGCTAATAAAGGAGTTGTCCTTCCCCCATTGAAACTTTTCTCTTTTTTTATTATTTGGCGCTCGAAAAACTAGGATGTCTTCAGATGATTCTTGCCCTTGAGTGGCACAGTATCATGGGACCATTGAGGCCTCGACTTGTGACCAGAGGCAAAATGGAGTTATGTTTCTGCCTGCCATACCTGGCTCATGGGCAGGGTGACATTGGGCCTTAGACAGCTATAGTTATACTTTAAATATGAAAGAATTTTCCCCAGAAAATTATGTAGTATGGTTCTCTACAGGATAGAAACTTCTCAGCTTCTGTTTTGAACTCCTGAATTAGGGTAACTACACAGAATGATTCCTAACATTGCCATTGTCCTAAACAAAACAATTTTAAAAATTAAAATAGCACTCTTTCCTATTTTACACCATTCAGAGTTATATTTGTAAGCAGTGGTCCTTGTACAGTAATTCTGTATATTATTAGTATGTTCAAATTACATGCAATAAGGCAAGTTTGTCTTTCATACTGCCAACCAATACCAAATATATTGAACTGTAGTGTCACTGTAAAGTGCTATGTGAGTTACAGTGTCTGCCACAGAATCAACAAGCATTACGAAGAAAACATCTTTGGTGCAGTCATTTACTGTTGTTCTGAAAATGGAACACATTGTTTTATTCTTAGTAACACAAAGTGCTGCTTTATTGGAAATATTTCTTCTCTTGGCTTTTTCAATCCTTCCAGCATTTCTTTTAGCTTTAATTTAATTCTTTCCACTTTACATAAATAAAATTTAAGTAATATTTATTACTTCATTAGACACTACATATTTAGAAGTAACATACTTTTATCAGTTTAAGCAAATTCCATAGGACACATTTGTAAAATAGTAATAGAAATTCTTTGTTTTCTTATTTCTTTGGAATCATACTGTCATTGCTTGGTTTATTATTATTGCTACATTCACTAAGCCTTTGGCTTTTCCCAACAAAGAGTACAGTGAAGCTTGTTTTATCGTGAGTAAATTATACAAATGTATGATAAAATTTTTACTTTGCTAGTTTAGGTATGTGAAAGGAAAAACTAGAAGATGTAAATTAGAAAAATTATAAAATAGCATGTTAAAATAATTGAATGCTTTCATTTTTCTGATTTTATATACTTTAAGTTGGAGATGAAAAACTAATCTTAAACATCATAGAATGTAAGGAGGTCCTACTGCAATGCTATAATAATAATAATAACTCCTTTACTGATAAATTCAAATTTGGGGCTTTCCTGAGAATTTATGAAGTTTTTTTTTTAAGCACAGGGTTAAATTTTATTCTGAAAGCTGATGACATTTTAGATTTAATATTTTGGTTTTGGGAGAGAAGGATTACTGTAAGTCTTGATTTCCTCATTTACACCTGAATGATTAATTCCAGTATCATGTTGGAGGGCCAGGGGTTTAGCTCAGTAATGCTGGGAAGACACTGAGTGCAATCCCTGGTACACACACGCACACACACACTCACACACATACACACACACACACACACACACAAATGGAGACACCCTAGTATTTGGTAGCTTTCTAAAGGCATTAATTTTTTTCTTCTTGGAAATTTGAGATTATTTTGTTACTGTTTCTATTACACTTTTTCAAAAGCGACCCTAAACAATAAAATACATCAAGGGTACAAATGATCTCTTCTTCATAATGAGGATACTATTCAAGCAGTTGTTTACAAACTAGTGTCAATGATGCATTGCTTCCAGTATTACCAAGATAAGCGAGAAAGAGAGAGTATGCATTTAGAAATGTTTACAGCATGTGTCATTTTCTCCCCTTACAATCTAGGCTAGTCTCTTCAGCAGAGTATCAAGTAACTAGCACGTCAAGCAGAAGGTACAAAATACCTACTACTATTACCAGCAAATCTAAAGAGCTTTGGGAAATACCTTCAGTGATACAAACTAGTTACTCTTAGTTCTGGAAAGCTTAAAAATATGAGTAGTCAGAGTCAACCTTGTAAAATATCTTAAGAAACAACTTAAGGTTCCAAGTCAGTATGCCTAATATAATGCACACAAAGACCACGTTGCCTTTAATTTGTCTTCAATAAATTTTTCTCTCTGTAGCTTTTTCTTTTGATTCATTTGACATTAAATGTTTTAAAGTAATTTATTTAAGAGTGTGTCTTATTCATATTTCTATTTCTAAACTGCATTTCTGAGTCATGAAATATGCAGCATTTATGAATGGTGGGCTTGATCTTGACATTTTAGCTTGATTAAACATCTTGTTTGTTTTATACAATATTTCTCAAATTTGCAACATTTATTACTAGTTTATCAAATTAACTGTATATATCTGCGTTTTTTATTATCATTCTTTTTGACTGTCTGTGTGAAGTACATCTTGTCTTACATCATTGGTAGGAAATTGTGATCATGTTCCTGAATGTGTTCAAGGTGGAAATGTCCAATGTAGTGATGTTAGCTGTTGAAGAAAACATGACACTGAAAAGATTAAGTGTGCCTGGGAGGAATTTAGAATTTTCACTAAATTTAGTTCCACTCTAAATGAAATTCCTCCCTGTATATAGCATAGCATGGCTGTTAATTTAGGATATGTTTGGATAATATTCTTGGGTATGTGAATTATTAGAAACAGATCTTGCTATATAGTAGTAGTAATTGGTAATAACATTTTGCATTTATAATCCATTTCATGATGGGTATTTTACCAGAGCTCTTCAAATCTGCTTTCCAGCCTTTTCTGCTTTCCCCTGTGCCTTCTGCTTCTAGTTTGCTTTAGCTAATGAATGGATTCAGGGACAGCTGATAAACAAGAGTGTGGGTGGAAATTGAGATCAGACTTCCAATTCTCCAGTTCCCTCAGGTTGGTTGCATCTTTCAAATCAATAGAGAAGCATTTACTTTTGGTTTTTATAGTAAAAAAAGTTTTAATTAGAAAGTTAGCAGAAAAATAGGAAAGGACTCCAGCTTAGGTTCAGACTAGCCAGTTTTTTATTTTTTATTAACAGCTGTCTGTAGTACATAATGTTTACATTCCTTGTGGGGAGTTGGCACATGTACATAAGACATCTTAATGCTTTCTTCATGCCCCTTCCCTTCTCTCATCTCCCCCTCTCTTCCTTCAGTCACTTCATTTGAGTGTATCCTGTTTCCTGACAAAATCTGCTCTGATATAAATCATGCATTTTAAAATTTAGTTTTATTAAAAATGGAATGCAAAATCTTTAAGTATTAACATAACTGCCCATTTGATTTTGTCAAATACTCCACTAACCACAAATAGCATGTTCTAGTTTTGGTTATACATTCATAAGATATGCTCAGATATTCTTCAAAAGGAAAAGAAATCTGAATATGAGGGCAAGCTGAGAGAGCATAATCTATCTGACAGAAAGGCAAGAGCCATAAAGCAGGAATAAGAAGTTACCTTAAAATACAGAAGACATACTGGTCTCATAATGACTGTAAGTATTTATGTAAAGTTTCCTATATGCCAAGCTCTATTCTAACTAATTGATATATGCTAAACTATTTATTTCTAATAGGAACTCTATGAGGAGATATTATCCCTATTTTACAAGTAGGAAACAGGCTCAAAGCACGTAAGTAGATCTATTAGTCTTGTATAATGTAACCTCCTAGTTATTAGGCTGTTCTTACAATGGTTTCACTCATAAAACTGATAAATTATAATAAAGACTGGATACTATATGAACGAATATATCTATAATAGTAACATAATAGATAGCATATGGGTTTTGACAGCAAAGTTAGGCTTGATTCCCAGGTATGAGTTTAAATTTAAATTGCTTCTTAATAAGCTGCTCTTAATCCTGATTTTCATTCTTGCTCCCTTTTCCACAAATCATGTATTTGCATTATATGTATTATTTAGTACTGTGAATGAATTTCTATCCTAAAATAAATTTTATATTTTTATTCAGATTTATGATCTGTAATTATGCCTGTTAACAAATCACCTGCAATGAATAACTTTGGAGTAATATCTTCTCCCTGTCATGAGGAACTCTTGAAATTTAATTTTAAAAAGTCAGGGTGCTGAGTAGAGAGAAGAAGAAGGGTAATGAAAATGATCGCAGTGTGTTGTATGCGTGTATGGATATGCCAAAATGAATTCCACTATTCTGTATAACTAATATACTCTAATTTTTAAAATGTGAAAGAAAATTGTGAAAATAAAAAATAAATCATGCTATCTCACCAAGGGTGAAAATGTTCAAATGTCCTATTTTTTCAATAGCTTCATTCATGTTTTATCTTTTTTGTTTTGTTTTGTTTTTTGAGATAGGGTCTCACTATGTAATTGAGACTGACCTGGAACTCACTGTGTAGCCCAGGCTGGTCTCGAACTCACAGCAATCCTGCTGCCTCAGCCTCCAGAATGCTGGGATTACAACACCTGGCTTATAATGTTTTATCCATTTTCCCAAACTGCATATTATATAATTCCTGTATAATTGTATATAGAAATCTGTACTTTTTTTCCATTTAAAATAAGTATTTTCTATACTCATAAATATTTTTAACATGTTTTGCAAATTTTGTACTCACTATCTTTTTTATACTCATCAGTTTTAATTTATCACAGAAAAAACATAAAATGCATAAGATTAAAGTTTTAATAACTACTCGTGTATGAAGAATTTTAATTGTTTCTTAGTCCTTTCCTATTTTAAATTTAGCCACAACAGCATGTTTTCCTATACTTCAAATCATTTTCTTGGAGTAAATTTTCTACACTTGATCTTAGCCAAAAGGCCGAGAAGCGATTGGAGTAAATTTTCTAAAATGAGTGCTAGTGAAACTTTAAAGAACTTCTTGAAAACTTTACAACCTTGGGGGGGATTTTCTCTGGTTGTTTTGTGTTATATATCCTTGCCCTAACACCATATCAACCTATATAAACAAAAGAGAGCTTGAGAAGTTGTTTCTCATCCAGACCACTATAGTGAGGAAAGTAGAATTCGTAATGTATGATCCACAAAGACTGAGTAGTTTTGCTGTAATTTATCTAGCATATGTAATATATTTAATTTTATACTGAAAAAATAAAAAAATGGTCAGTGCATATAAATGGTTTGAAAGAGTTATGTCTTATATTCTGTGACTAACTTAGTTTTCTTCAAATCTGCTATGTAAACTTAAGATCTTTGATTGCCGCCAGATGCATCTACACATGTTGTGGGTTAAGTGTGTTAG